GAGCCAGCTTCTTTCAACTATAGTAAAAGGCATTAAATACGCTATTTAATGGTACATGTATGCAGGAGCATGTTCTATGTATGAAATTTTTTTTAAACAAAGTAAGCTATTGACGAATAAGTTGATGATACTAGGATATCAGCAGTCTCATTTGAAGTCATTTCGCAAATTCTACGTCGGTACAATGACCTTAATAAAAATAATTAATTGTCAGCAAATAAATCGATCGTAAAGTCAAATGTTGACGTTTTTCATACAAGTTATTAGGCCATTATTTTCACACTGAATTGTGTACAGATTTTTCCGTTAACTGATCATGACAAGGAGCACGACGGATGTGACCGGTCGATAGGGGATACTTACTCTTCCTTGGCACCTGATCCCATTTTTGATATTTTTAGAGGTCCATGTTGACATTTTGTATTATTTCAATGGACTTTCAGCTTAAACTAAGTTTATCAATTATAAACTATAGTTAACGATTTGATATTTATAGTTTTCATCTGTAAAACTATATAAACGGTTGTGTAACTATACTTTACCAACCAAACCATACGAATATACAAACCAACTTAATCGGTCTTTCAATAAACGTTTATGATTTTTTTTCAATTAAAATATAAATTCTGAATTGCATTTTTAATGTTCGTTATCCATAGTTACGAATTGTTCAGCAATCGGGAACAAATTCGTTAACTATAGTTTAGAGTTTTTAACTATAGCTTTCTTATCGAGAAACTGTATTTTTATCAGATGTTTTACACTTGCAAATAGCTGTTGTCGCCGTTAACTATAGCTTAAACTTTGAAACATAGATTTGGGAGGGGGTAAGCTACGGTTTAGAGGCGTTAAACTCAGATTAACATCGTTGACTTGGTTTAGGTATCGTTAAATTTAGAATCAAAGAAATATAGTTTATCGACCGTAAAATTATGTTTACTTCATTTTTTTTTTTTTTTTTTTTTGGGGGGGGGGGGGGAATTTGGCGTACCATACCAAAGTTGCTCACAGAATTGTAATCCAACAAGACTTACAAGTTTTCCAACAAGACTTACAAGTTTTCCAAAGTTTTTTTTTTCAAATCCATAGTGAACATAAGTTTTCAAACATCAATTCAGGAACCTCATAAGAGTAGCCTAATGTACAGAGGTTACCAGTATTAGATTAGTTTAAAATATTGCTTACTTCTGTCACTGATGAAAATTTACCATTGGACATTTTGAAAATTACTTTGAATACTTTCTCTATCAAATTCTACTTATCTGTTATTAACAAATGAGTTGTCATAATTGCTTCAATCTGCCAGATTTATCTATTATAAAATATGTAATTATGTTAATTAGCTATGAGTGATATGACCAGATGGACTGTGCTTTTGAGTGACTTAATTAGTGTTTATTTAAAAATATAATCTTTTACTCTACTTGTAAATCAAATAACTCATCTCATATGTTACTCAAGTATGTCAATTATCAGTCATGTCTTTAAATACAAAATTTTGTTAACATTCGGGGAGTTGGAATCGGGACGCTGTCCCTGATACTGTCCGACCCAACGGGAAATAAAGGTCTGCAAATCGTAAGGCGGCTTTATCTTATTACCAATAGTCCACCCCAGTGGCTTTGCGACAAGCACACGCATCTAAAGTGGGGGTGTGATACTTCCAAAAAGGTTGTAAAACTGAGGCTAAAACCGAAAGAGTTGAAAAGCCAAAAGTAAAAGGGAGTTTTCTTCCAACAGCTCCACCCGTCTCAATAGAAGTCCTGTAATATCAAGCTCTTTATCAATACATAAATATTTTAATGATAACTTTGCATCTCCTTTCTGAATAGAAGCGATTGATACATGTAGGTCTATTCTGATGAATTCCATTTCAAAACATTTAGCCGAAATTACATTTTACCGTATCAACATCATATTTCCAATGTGTTCTTTCAAGATAAATTAGTTCATGTAATTAAAATCCATTTTCAAATAATCCAGTCATTATACATGTATATATATTTGGTACATAATTAATGTCCACCCGACTTAATAAGTTTGAATTTTATTGTACTGTTGCTAATATTATTAGTCACTATTATATAAAGCCCATTATCACCACTTTAACTGATAATTACATGTACATTCCAAGTTTAATTTTTCAAATAAAATGTCCATTTGAACCCCATTTGTATAACTATGCAAACTTTGACCCTATATTGTTGCCTCACTCAATATCATAAGGATCGTGATTTGAACATAGAGTTTAATGTACTCAGTATGTATCATAAAGAAGCTTGCATGCATACATCAGTAACATCTATTGTATACCAGATGACCTTGGGCAGAAGGATCTACATTTTACCATAAAAAATTAACTCCTTATTGTTGAACAAAACTTACACTACACACATTTTATATATTTATATTAATATGACCAACTATTGCCTTACTACAGAGTAATCTTGACATGAGGATTTTTCCTATTCATTGCCGATTAAAACTTTTACCCTAAGTTGTGGCCACATCCTAGATAGGCCGATGGATTTTGATTTGAACAAACTTGAATCGGATATGCTTGTGTATCAATTTGACCAACTGTGATCCTGCTGTTTCTGAGATTTTTTTTTCTTCTATCTATTCCAGTATAATAATTTATCCCCCTAATGGGGCCTGAGGGACCAAGATTTGAAAAAAAATTGAATCCACAATACATGAAGATCAATAAGACTCATCATGACCCTGCCGTTTTCAGAAGACTTAATTTTGCTAAATATACCCATATCAAACTTTGACCTCCTATGGCTCTCCATCCCAGCCCAAAGGGTCATGTGATTCGAACAAACTTAAATCTCCACTCAATAAGGAAGCTTTAACACTAGTGTTGTCTTTTCTATTTCGCCAGTAGATTTCTACATGATCTTCTATATTTTCACCATTTCTTAATATTAAACAAACTAAAATCCCCAAGTATGCTTTGTGGCAAGTTTTGTAGAAATTGTCCAAGTTCTGGAGAAGATATTGAAAATGTGAAATTTTATACATTCCACACAACAGTCAAACTGGTGCCAGACACTCTTCCATCAGAAAAAAACTGGTTTGGCTCAAGTGACCTTAAAATCTTTACAAACCATCTTCTCAAGAACAGAGCTCCGAACAAGCATCTCTGGGTAGAACATTCATATTTGTTCAAATCATGTCCCCCGAGGCTAGGGTGTGGCCAAAACAGATGTCAAAGTTCTACATAGAAATATATTGGAAAATTATAATCCCTGTAATGGTCCATGGATCTTTGATGGGGCAACAATGGGGGAACAAAATTTACATAGGAATACGTATGACATGTACACACATTTAAACATTTGAAAAAAAAAAAAAAAAAAAAAAAAAAAAGCAGCTATGGCCATAATTTCTTGAATTAATATTTAAGCATCCCAATGTTTTATTTGAGATTGAATTTCTTAAAATCATGATCCTTGGTCTTAGATGGGGCCTTAACATAAGGCAAAGGTTTGCATAGCCTATACTAAAAAATCTTTTAAAAACAACCAGTAAAACATCAGATCCTGTATTCACAACATATGTGGAGGATGGTTAAAACATTTTAAGTATAGGGTAGGGGGTCATTTGATCAACAGCTGATTATTCAGCTGACCACTACACAGGTACATTTCAATCTACTGACTTCATATTCCATACACAAGTGCCAAACTATTGGAAAGAGATATTGACAAACAAGTTGATGAAACAAGGATATCAACACTCTTTTTGCAAGTTCTATGGTTGATACAGTGACCTTGTCAGCAAATACAATCTATCATTCAGTCAAATGCTGACTGATGATTTTCATGCTAATTGTCAAGCCATTATTTAAAAACTGAATTGTCTATAGATTTTTCCATTTGTCTGATCACGACAATCAGCACACGGCAAGTGTGACCAGTCAACAAGGGATGCTTACTTTCCCATGGCATCTGATCCCACCTCTGATGTTTTTAAAGGTCTGTGTTTGCTCTGCTCCCAATTTGTATTGTTTCAATAGACTTTTGAGCTTGATTACTGTTCATTATATCCATATTTCCTTCAAATATGGATTCACTTTATCCAAAGTCAAGCTCAGAAATTCAAGTCTCTATATTTATATACTATACTTTAAATATACAAAAGAGACAATACCATATACTTTCCTAGATTACATGTATACAGTAAACACCAAAAGATACAAAAGTTAGTGGGACTTAATTGTTACCCAAACAACATATGACAATGTTATACATCTTTTCAAAAACTTGCCTACACTATACTGACTATAGTCACTGTGACAAAGGATGTAGAAAATGTTTTCATCAAAACATGAATAAATAAAGTGGTTGGGTGCTTGCTTGGGGTTCACTTCTCCAAGACGTAGATAGTGAAGGTTCCCTTTCCAAGTGGCTGGCATAAGAAGTGAGAGTTGAAGGTCTATTGAAGAGAACAGCTCACTGGTTAAACAGCCTGGTCAAATCTTGGTCTATCCATAAACTGTTATATTTTGTGTTGTGTAGCTAGAGTTTGCAAATGTAGTGGTTTAGGTTGTGTGGACAGAGGGTGTCACCCTGGGTGGCTCTATATGGGTTAATGCACCTGACTAGTAATACAGGGGTCATGGGTCTGATTCCAAGTCCAGCTATAGATTGTCTCTTTTCCTGTAACATTGGTGCCATTGATCATCAATGGATTTGCAGTTGAAAGTCTTGCCAGGGGGCAAAAGAACCTCAGTTTTGAGTCTTTGAGAGTGAAGATAATTTCAGGAAGGAGGAATGTAGTGATTTGGTCTATATGGACTGTGGTTATTGGCCTAAAAAGGTCAGTGATTAGAGCACCTTAAGTAGTAATACAGAGGTCCTCAGCTTGATTCCAAGTCAAGTCCTAAAATTTTCTTATTCCCTGTTACAGGAGGTTTAACAACGCACAATCAATCATGAAAACAATGTCTCTACTTTCACTTTGGAATACTGAGAATTGCACAAAGAAAACACTTCCCTTAAATGTTTAATAAACAAAGAAGACAATAAATAACATTTTTCATAAACTTGATAAGAACATGGACAAAGACTCTGGTTTATTGTTTGTTTTCTCCTTGGCAAGCATCTTGCTCAACTGTTGGTGGAGATAATAAATAACATTTTTCATAAACTTGATAAGAACATGGACAAAGACTCTGGTTTATTGTTTGTTTTCTCCTTGGCAAGCATCTTGCTCAACTGTTGGTGGCGATTTTTACCCTTAAGTCTCTGACCTAGTTTTCCAGAATATTGTGATTTCACCTTGGCTTTTGTAACAAAAGAGTTTTTATTTTGTATTTTATGAACTGCAGTCTCAGGTTTATTTTTGACCCCAGAGTCAGCCTCCTTTGCTTGAGTTTGACTGTGAAAAATAAAATAATATCAATGAAACGCGTAGTTTTCCATGTTTCATGTCTGTGGATATATAATATTTGTAGCTTGAAGTTTTTTTACATTATGTTTCACTATATACTTTAATTAATTTAATAAGCATTATATTATATTTTTGGAAATAAGCTACAATAACATACATGTTTGCATTATTGAAAAGGATGTTTTCCTCTCACATTTATTGTACTTATGTAAAAAATATAGGTAGTCAGAGATTACAGAGCTCACCTCAACAAATGTTTTCTTTAAGTAAGGCAAAGTCCCACATTAAACTAATAATCTAGTAGTGCACATCCCAAGATGCAATATTTATGCAATTTTGATCTGATAGGACTTGCAGTTACTTGGGAATAATCATATCCAAAAACTTCAAACTAGTCTCTTATCCAGAAAATGTAATTCAAATCCAGCATCAGAAGCAAGTTAGAGAGTATTCATTCCTTGGTGCATCATCCAAGTTTGGTTCAGATAGGCCTTAAAGTTTCTTTGTAATAGACCTGCACCTTAAACATTAACCTGGTCCATATCTGGAAAATGTTATCGAGCATTCGAACCAAGCCTGGTAGTGTGAATCCTTAGATGTATCATCCATGCAAGTTTGGTTAACATATGGCTTAAAGTTACTTTAGAATGAACCTGCTCCAAAAACTTTAACCTGTTCACTCATCCAAAAGATATAGATCAGATCCAGAATCCGAAGCAAGCCTGGTAGTGTGCATCCTTAGATGTATTATCCATGCAAGTTTGGTTAACATAGGGCCTATAGTTACCTTAGAATGAACCTGCTCCAAAAACTTTAACCAGAGGCCTATTCAACAGAGCGAACATTCGGGAGCGCTCTCAAAAATTCCTCATACCTCCAACAGAAATGTTCGTGAGCGCTGTTGAACAGGCCTCTGTTCACTCATCTGAAAAATGTAGGTCAAATCCAGCATCAAAAGTAAGCATGACAGTGTGCATCCTTGGATGTATCATCCATGCAAGTTTGGTCAATATAGGACTTATAGTTACTTGGAAATGAGACCTGTACCAAAAACTTTAACCTGCACCAAAAACTTTAACCTGCTCCAAAAACATTAATCTGGTCATTGCTAAGCTGAAATTGCAGCATCTGAAACCTTGACTGGTACAATGAAACACATTAGAAGCATCTTCCATGCTTCTCTGAATAATGTAGGGCATAGTATTTAAAAAGAAAACTGCATCAAAAACTTTAACCTGGGATGCTGATGCCGACGCCGAGGGTATCACAAAAGCTCACCCCAACTTTGTTGAGGTGAGCTGAAAATCATGAAATTTTCATACGATCAAGAAGACAATATCACTAATGATGGTATCACTGACTGTCTTATTTTAGACACTGAAGATTAAGAACTACCATTGCCAATTATATTATGCCTTCTATTTAAAAACATTATCTTATACTGTGAAATCACTAATTTTTGTGGGGGTTTAATTTTCATTGTTTTCGAGGTATGGAGAGACCCACAAATTTATGTCCACCGCAAAATATAAAATGTCATATTATATACATAACTACTCAACATTTTTTCATCCACGAAATTAAATCCCCATGAACCCATATTTTTTCCTCAAACCACTAAAATTTGACCCCAGAAAATATGTGATCTTACAGTATTCAAATTTTCAAATTTTTCTTATTTTACCTTTGGTGAAGACTTCATATATCAATAAAAAATAAAACAAACATAAAAAAAATGACCATTTAATAAGAGAAAAAAAAGTAGTTAAAAGTTTTCACTCAAAATTAATCATTGATTGAAAACTTACAAAGGTTAAAAAGACTGTAGTTTGTTTGGAAAACCTTATTTATTTAACATATTAGTCCCTAAATGTAAATTTCATTCAGTTCAGAAAATCTGTTAGGATTTTGATTGTTTTAAACTTTTAACTTAATTCATTATAGATAATTTGCAAAAACAAAAGTTGTGATATTTTTCTACTCTTCTGCCAAAAATATAGTCCCTGTTAGATTTTAAACTCAGTGTACCATTTCTTTGTCAATTTGTTCAGTTGTAAGAGGAAAATATACCTTCTAATTAATTCATTACAACTCAATATAAAGAAAATTTATGCAATATACTTCAATATTTTTAAATTATAGTCAAAAACCTGCCAAGAATCTCTCCTTAAAACTGAATAATGCAGTGTCGCAATTTGTATGTACATGTACTCGGTACACCTCATTGAATACATGTGTAGATGCAACTACGCATTTCAAAAAAGATTATTAAATTCTAATATTATTACAATTGTAATGCTTATATCAGGTTGATGAATACAAGTCCCTTTGTTTAATTTTTATCTTTTGTTTATTTATTTATTTTTGTTTTGGTTTTCATAACCAGTTTATCATGATTGCAATATCAATTTATTTCATAAGTAATTATTCAACTTTTAAGGAGAGTTTTGTAAATAATTGCATTTTGCAGAGAGCAAGATAAAAACATCAAAGTGTGCTAAACTTAGCATTAAATAAATAAAATTTATCAAATCAGCAAAAGTAGTGGTTGTAGACAATGCATGGACAGAGAAAAACTATGAGTGAATTTTTTAATTCAACATTTCCTGTAAAAAGAGTTGTATATTAGAAAAATCTTTGCTTATTTAAATGATGATTGAAATCAATGATATTTACCTTAATTCAACATTGTCTTTGTCTCCTGCAATCAAAGTTTTCAGCTGTTTCTTTTTTAACCTTTTCCTCTGTTTCCTTGTTAACATTTTATCTTCAATTTCTGTTGGTTCAGTCTCTCTGACTGCAGGTGCTGAACAAGTAAAGAGATAAATGTTTTTATTGAGAAATACATGTAACTATATATATATATGTTCAACCTTGTGGACAAGTACACAGATATATTTATATACTCCTCGTTATCTCGACCTGGATGGAACCGAGAAAAAACTTCAAACTATCTGAGAATTCGAGATATCAAGGGTTACATGTAAATACTTAAAGAATAAGTGGTTGCGAATTCCAATTTACTTCAACATATCCATGGCATTAGAGATATCAGTGTTCGAGATAACAGAGTTCAACTGCACATGTTTATTATATTTTCGACAGTGATATACTGTAATTCATTTATTGAATAAAAGTGATATTTTGTCACAGTGTGAAATATCAAGTGATATTTTGTCACAGTGTGAAAGATTATCAAAGTGATATTTTGTCACAGTGTGAAAGAATAACAGAAGTGCAACAAAACTCTCAATTTTCCTTCCCTTCAGGAGTCTCGAGTCTTGTAAAAATACTCCCTGGCCTGTTTTAAGATAAAGAGAATAAATAAACCATTCTTACATGGCGGGAGACAAAAACTGCCAAAGTTGCTCCAATATGTTGTTGAAATCTATGTTTTCAATGTTTTCAATCACAATTTGTTGAGCTATGACATTTCAACCCATCAACTATGATGTCAAAGCCTATGACACTGTGTTTACAAAAGACAGAGGCAAAGGGAAAAACAAAGAAAATGTATATACAGAAAATTCAATATTTTGTAGATGAATTATTTAGTTAAACATCTCTTGAAATCCATATGTCACATTTAAGAGCTCTAGCTGACTGTAGTTTCCAAACTCCAAAATGATAGGCACATAAGGTCCTGCGGTTATATCAATAACCTTGACCTTTGAGTAAGTGACCTTAGAATTTATAGCAGTCTCTTTTAAATGTGTAGTAAAGTAGAAGTCTAAATGTTGAAGTGTATTAAAAATTTGCACCCAATAAAAGTGTGTTTAAGTGAAAATAATAGAGATGTCGACGTCCTCATATTTCTTTTGGAGTGCAAAGTCTTTCATATGCCAGGAAATACCTGGGGCTCCAACATGGGTGCCACATGTAACAGAAACATGTATGTACTGCTTAATAGATTTGAACCTGTGATCTCTGCCATGCCAGTCCAGTGCTCTACTGATTGAGCTAAAGGGTTAACCTACGTACAATGTGCTAGCCCAAACTAGTCAAATGCTGTGTATCTTACACTACCCCATTAACATATATTCACAGACTGATAAACTTGAAATAAGCATTTATAAACCATCATTAACACTGGTAAATATAGTTTTTCAGGTGAAAACTATAGCTACCTGTAGTAAATAATTCACTATAGTTTAAACACTGTAAAAGACAAACAGAGAAAATCTATATTGTGTGTTTTGATATTTGCTTTATCCAACAAGCTGAATGGTGTATATTCACTAGGCTTGCTGAGCGAATATATACTGTAACACCATTTCAATGAGTTGGATAAAGCAAATATCAAAACGCACAACTATAGATGTTCTATTTATCTCAAACAATTTTCGGTTTTAACAAACTTTGAGATAATCCCTGTGAAAGTATGAATGATTTCAACCAAATCGATGACGCGTAAATTTATGACGTTGTACTGTTGACGTTGACATACTGAAAGAAAGTTATTTGACAGATTGTAGATCATGACTGTACAGAATATGAAATCTTGGAATCTTTTAAAAACATCTGATAATCTGTGGGAGATATATTTAATACAAATTTTTGACTGGAAATTCAACAGTCTTGTGCATAAAGACCAAGAAATCATCATGATTCGCCCACTGAAATCATTCAGTGTACGGCAGTGCTAGGCTATTTGTAGATCCATGGTGAGTTATATAGTTTTTAGAGTTAGGCTAGTATAATGTAAGAAAGCATTGTTGAAAGTAGCTAGACTTTCCTGTATGGTCAAAGAATATTCCAAATACAACTTAACTGCTAGATCTAATGTTTCCTCGGGGAGGGGGGGGGGGGGGGGGCATCATCCATCGTTGTAGCCAGTACATTGATAAATTTTGATATTTCACTTAAGTGTGATGAGTTTTTTTCTTGTTTTTAACGAAATTTTTGCTTATTAGCATTCATTTGATAACACAGAACTTTCACAATAAGAAGTTTCAATAAATTTACATTCTGAAGCAAGGCCGAGGGATTATGTTGAAACCGGAAGTGCTATTGATAAAGCACATATATCCGTGGATAAAGCATAGGTTTATCTTATGGGTAGTATCCACCACACGATGAGATAAATAAGTTTATCAAATGCAAATTTGATGAATTTGCTCATTTTGTGAACATAAATAAAACAGAGTACATGTATCTATTAGCTGTATGAGTTAAAAACTTCTCTAAGAGTTTAATACTGATTTTGATAAAGAAAAGTTATGTTTATTTTTTTTATTCTATGCTCTAAGTATCCAATTTTTGGGGGTACTTTTTGTGTTGTTCACCTGGTTTTAATGATCTGGTTCGTTTCATCTGCCATGCTCTAGTCTGGGCAGGAAATTTGCTTGTTTTGCTGCATTGCAAACATGTTTTAATCTAATGAAAAAGAAAGGATGAATGAAACACAAAGTGATTATTCAGCTGTATTAAGTTATAAATGTTTTTATATAAGGAGGAATAAGGTAGTCTAATAAAATTTTATTTGATAACACAGTGCAGGATATTTAAAATACTGCTTGTCATTTTCATAAGAATTTATCACATATGGAGTTGAGACAATAATTTAATGCTATTAATAAAATCTTCAACATGGAACATGTACTACAGTAAAGTATATGATGTACTTACCACCACATTTTTACCATTGAGATATCTTTTAATCAAATTCTGCTGATATTTGCCTAAGGACTCTGGATTTGTTTTATTCCTCTCCAATAGCCTCTTCAAGTTTTTATTCAATGTAAGCTTAGGTCTGAGTCTTGTTCTACAGCTGTCGGGAGTGAACACACTGCCACAACAAATGCAGTGGGTAGAAAAAATGTCTGGCTCTGTAATGATAAACATAACTAGAATTATACTGCATGTGGCATATTTTATCCTATTTAAAAATAATCTTAAACATATATACTCCAGGGACAATTTTGTGCAATCACGATCTAGCACACAAAGGAATGTGCCAATGGTGCAGAAGTGTAAATTCTGCTAAAACAAGTACACATGAAGCCAGTTTACAAAATATCTTAAAGCCAAAGAGTCAGGGTTTATTGTCTTTATGAAAATTATTTATAGATTATTATAATGTTATGAACCTATCACTAAGAGCAGGAGTTCATATATTATAGGCAGTGTACCTGTTGCCCATGACAAATCAGAACTGAAACTTCAGTCACCTAAGCTTTATAGAATGTTTCAGACTTTCTGAAGTGAAATTGGTTCCATCCCAAAGAAAATATTTAATACAAATTTATATTTTTGTCTCCTTTAATAAGTCTGTTTTTGTGGGTAGTGGATACATGTGTTATGTACATGTGTATGCTTTCAGTACAGTATTGCTTCCTTCTAACTTTAACAAAAAGTAATAAAGTTGAAATAAGACATCAATTTTGAATAAAATATCAAAAAGATACAAATTATTTAGCATTTAAGATAATATCACCAAATAAATACCAGCTTTTATACATGTATCAAAAGAAACTGATGACGGAACATTTGCTTGAAGTATATAGTAGAATCAGGATGACGTAAACAAACAGAATAAAAGTCAAATCACTTTATCAGCTTAAAATCTATATAATATAAGAAACACATGCATGGTTTGTTAAATATACCTTTGTTGTCATTCTTTGTTAGTTCTATGGCTTTGAATCTGAAATGAACACAACCGTCAAAGAGTATTCAGTTCACACAGAAGAAAACATGTTTTTTTTTCATGCGTACCCTGTCATGTAATATTTATCTGATAATTTATCTTTGAAACTAAAATGAAGATAACAATGTGTGTAAGTTAATTTCTATAATAAAAATAGCACAATAATATGAGAATGATATAATATTGGTGTGTTATAAATATTATCAAACATGTTAAAGTAAAGTTAAATTTTCTCTGTGACTCGATTAAATTAATCCGGGAAACACATGTCACTTGCAACAGTTTATATAACAATAATCTTAAATTCTATATACCTTAAATATTTAGCTGTCATATCAGCCTCCTTGGGCAAGGCTAACGCCAAAGAAAGAAGATGTTTACGTTTGCTCATCTCTGATTTTCCACGTTCCCTTTGAAAATGAAAGTAAGTCTCTATTGTTTTCACCTCTTTCACAGAAGAGTTCCACTCAAGTCCAAACTATCAACACGCTTAAGTAGGAGCAAGCCATGAACCGACAAGAGTCGATTTTAAAATAAACTACGTTCAGATTGCCTTGATCTGCTAGGAAAATGGCATCCATAACCCAGCAAGTGAATTATCTTCTGGCCTCTGGACAGTATCACACTATTTTGTCAATCATCAAAGGTTTCAGAAATGGGGCAGTGTAAGTAAAAAACAACACAAATCATAATGTTAGTAACAGCAGTGTTAGTGTTAATTTTAGAATTAGTATCCAAGTAAAATGTAGCAGGACTGGGAATCAAATCCAGGACCCCTGCATCACTAGTCAGGTGCAGCTACCAACTGAGCTACCCAGGCTGATATCCACGGCCCAAACCATTACATTGAAGGGCATCAAGTGTAACAGGAAGGGAGAAAATGTGACAGACCAGAGTTACCAGACTAGGATTAGAACCTGGTCTTCTGAACTCAAGACAAGTGCCTTTTCAATTAAGCTAACTAGTCACTGGCAAACAAACCTGTCTGGTTCTCACATTTGTCCCTCCCTCAGTGTCTTTGCACCCAAAACACTAAATTCAAGTAAAACAAGATGTGTTTTTGAAATACTGATGCCCCCGTATGGCAGCTTATGGCAAAGGTTAAAGTTTCTCAAATGCAAGTCAAAATCCAGGCCAAAAGATAAAAAATATTAAATTTGAAAGCCCTAGCTGCAACTGTTCAAAAGTTATGGTGAAGGTTAAAGTTTTTTAAAAGTAAGTAAAACATCAAGGTCAAGGTCAAAGTTGTTGGTATCCAAAGGAAGGTCTTGTCACAAGGATTACATATTTAAAGTATGAAAGCCCTAGCACCGACCATTCAAAAGTTATGGCCAATGTTAAAGTTTTTCAAAAGTAGGTCAAACTCCTATGTCAAGGTCAAAGGGTCAAAGTGCTTGGTATCCAAAGGAAGGTCTTGTCACAAGGACTACATATGTGAAGTATGAAAGCCCTAGCACCAACCATTCAAAAATTATGGCCAATGTTAAAGTTTTTAAAAAGTAGGTCAAACTCCTAGGTCAAGGTCAAAGGGTCAAAGAGGTTGATATCCAGAGGAAGGTCTTGTACGTCACAAGGAATACACATGTGAAGTTTGAAACCCCAAGCACCAACTGTTCAAAAGTTATGGCCAAGGTTAAAGTTTTTCAAAAGTAGGTCAAACTCCAAGTTCAAAAGGTCAAAGTTGTTGGTATCCAAAGGAAGGCCTTGTCACAAAGAATACACTTGTGAAGTTTGAAACCCCAAGCACCAACTGTTCAGAAGTTATGGCCAAGGTTAACTCATAAAATTTTGCAAAAGTGGGTCAAACTCCAAGGTCAAGGTCAAAAGGTCAAATATGATGGTACCCAAAGAAAGGTCTTGTCACAAGGAATACACATGTGAAATATAAAAGTCATAGCTCCAACCAATCAAAAGTTGTGGGCAAGGTTAAAGTTGACAACAGACAGACTGACAAACAGACAAACAGACAGACAGGACAAAAACAATATAACCCCGGGATCTTTCTATCCGGGGGCATAAAAATATAATTCAGTCTATTAGATTGTCTTTGGAGAGTATTGTAAATGGGGAATTACAGTGTACATGTATAAAGGTGGAGAGTAATCTTTTGATCAAAATCAGAAAAGCACATTATACATATGTATTTATGATTACATGTGGATATTGTATTCATAGTATTGTTTGTAACAAATATCATTCCCTTATTTGATTATTTCAAAGATAATCCCCAGATTAAAGGTTTGAAAGGTAAATATCCCAGAAGTACCCTTTGCAAAATGATAAATTTTCAGTATTCGTTAAAAATGAACTTGAGTAGAAAAGCAAAAAAAAAAAAAAATTTTCAGGACATACATGCATGATTCACATCTTTAAAAGCTAAGTTCTGCCATTAACAGATGTCTGTTATAATTTGAATCTTGATCAAAATAAGTATTAATGATTGAAATATTGACAATCCATTGAATAGCCCAATCATTTTTGTCTTTGTAGGTATGGTGCCAAGATCAGATTTCCCCACGCCCTAGTGATGACTCTCCTCTTCAGAAGAGGAAGGTAATTGATTATATTAATTAATTTTACATCACTTCACCATATGATTTTAAAATTCTCATCAGGTGTGAAAATTAACCCACTTTTCTCTTTGGGTTAAACTGGTTTAATAACATCTTGCACTATACTTAATGAGAACATTGCCTGTACTATGTTATATCTGAGGCTTTGAAAGCAAAGAGTATGCCTCATTAACTTTTGCCATAAGGACATCTTTTATTATTGTTAGTTTGTTACATGTAATTTGAAGTGTAAAAAGGTGTCCTCTAATTTGCCTTACAATTAAGTTCTTTGAGATGCTTGTATTTGTAATGCAATTTAATAAGTTGTAGAGAATGTGAGACACCTCGGCCCAATGATACCTCGGCCCAACGACATCTCGGCCCATTGACACCTCGGCCCCAACGGGTCGGCCCAATATTTGAGACACCTTGGCTCACATAAAAGACACCTTGGCACAAACAAAAATGTATTATTTTGAATATATTTATTCAATATATTCTGAAGTATTTTATTATGATAGGGACTATACAAGGATTATGCGACGGATTATATTGTTATTTATCCATGAAGCGAGAAAGAAAATAAATGAATAATCTTCCGAGAGTAAATTGACGGTAATTAAAAAAAGATAATCCATTACAAAGTGCTAATCGTTAAACAAACAAGAAGACGCGGCGCTTCCTTTAGAGTCATATGGGGTGGTGACAATGAGGAGTTAATTACGAGCAGGATTAAAGCTCCAGATAATAAGCACCGCCTTTAGATTTACCTGGTCTGTGTACCCCCGTCAATCAAGTGAACTTAGGTCCATCATTGGGTGCTTGATATTTTTGATAGAAATACATATGTCAACATCTAATACAGATTCGTTTTAAATTGTTTTAATCATATTTTAAATTTATAAATGCATGTATAGGGATTAGTTTAATGAAATATAAAAAAAAATTGAAAACCAGTTAGTTTTTTAAAGACCCTCAGAAAATTTTTAAGTGAAAATAAATGTTAGATAATATGCAATTTTTAACATATCCTAACCAAAAAAAGAATTCTTAACATCATGAAATGAATAAAGTTGCATTGTAATAAGCAACAAAATGAATAAATAAATAGACCTCCTACCTCCCACTCAATAGATACTCGCTGACATCTATGCTGTCGTTCCTTCAAAAATTCTGAAATTATCTGCTCCCTATATCGTTTACATATCATCATTATACACACATACATTTATATTACCAAATTGAATACAGATAATAATTCTGAAAATAAAAAAAAATCCATTGGCCGAGGTGTCTTCAGTATGGGCTGAGGTGTCAATAATTTTGGGCCAACCTGTCAGGGCCAAGGTGTCAAACGTGATGGGCCGAGGTGTCGTTGGGCCGAGGTGTCTGTCTACCATTGTAGATTTTTTTTATTAAGTTATTATGCAATACATGTATATCAATCATTGTCTTGATTTCATTAAATATAAAATATTTATAAAATAATATTTTAACCCATGTAATCAGTTCCTTTCATTTGTATGCAACAATATTCTTAATTTTCTTCTTTTTTTTTTAAATAATTGCCAGCAAAACACTAAAATAAAAATAGCTGATAGCTGATTTATTATGCATTTTATTAACCAATATATATTTTACAAAGATTTTACTTTGATTTCATTTGAATTTAATTGCAGTTTAAAAGAAATGACTCAGGGCATACTAGAAGCCACCTTTACACATTCCAAAAACCTGGCATGTTTTGTGTTGGCCTATAAGACCTTAACCAATGTAATGGCCTGGCTGGAAACTCATGAGAAACAATACCAGTCCTTTATTGCTGCCTTTGTAGGGGGATACTTTGTATTCGGAAAATACAACAAAGTTAATGAACAGGTAAGTACAATGCTCCTTATAGCATAGAAGAGATACTGTTCAGTAATGTGGCAAAAGGTTTGACTGTTACAACCCTACTGTACATTTTCAATACATTCCTTTGTTTTTGATTACTCAGTAATTAGTAATGCAGGTGTAAAATCGTGTATTAGTAATCATTACACAGTGTGCATGTCTTGACAACAGATAATCAATGCAATATCGGATAAAAAATTTTTACTCATAATTATGATTTTGATGATATACTCTGTCACATACGGGTCAATATAAACTTTAGTACAGCAATAATTGATTTAGTAATTAATCATAGAGGTCATTTGTAAGTCATGTAGGTGTACAAATTGAAACCTCACAATTATTGGAAATCTCACATTTCTCCAAATTATGGAGATAATTATATGCTTATCCAATCTTGTTTAAATTATTGATAGAGAAAAGAATGAATTCATTGTAATTTGTAATTGTAAAAGAGAATACATTAAGCACATAATAATAAAACTATCTATTTAAACTTCAGATCAACCTGTACCTATTGTCCAGGATTCTATATGGCCTTGCCAAGTTATCGGTAAAGCGTGGGTACATTCCTGCTCCCAAAGCACCTGTGTTTCCCTGGTTTGCCGCCATTGTGTGGGGTATTGTGTTGTGGTTATTTGAATATGAACGGGACACTCTTCAACCTTCTCTGAAGTCATCCATGACTTACCTCTATCATGACAGTAATAGATGGAATAGCTTTAAGAACTTTCTTATATATAACAAATAATTAGATCCTCAGGTTTAAGATACTTTATGCAGAATGTAATCAATTATATTTTCGTGATTATGCATGATTTTATTTTTTATACTCTGAATACCACAGTACTTTTGATCTGTCCAACTGAATTTCTAAAATTTTCAAAAAAATGAGAAAAAAAAGAAAAGAAAAGAAAAATTAGGTGAATGAATTTAGTAAATAGTAAGGCACTTTTTATAATTCTTAATTATTTGCCAGTATATAATTTTGATGTATATATTGAATAGAATCAATCATATGATTGAGCTTCTTAACCATAATAATTAAACATTACAATGTCCGACAATTGAACTACGGTAAAATTTGAATCAAATTAATATATTAATTCCTTCCCAAATCAGGAGTCATTCGTATTTATTGTGTATAAAATGTGTGCTGAGATTCTTTGATCTGCAAACTGATACATGTAGTCACTACTGTAATACAAATTTAAAGCAAACACATTTTTTTCTTATACCATAACTTTATGCTTATATGCTATTCTTTGTCACCAGTTATCTCTAATGAAATGTGTACCTGATATACATGTATAATTATATATAAATGTTTCATTAACTGTATAAGGATATTTATCTTGATATGTACATGTAACTTTGATAGATTTTATGTAAAACCTGTAATTACATGCAATGTTGATGAAGATTCCAATGTGATTAATTAGTGATTGATCTTTCACCATTTGTTAGCTGCAGTGGAATTAAATAAGTAAAGTATGATAAGACAATCACATACTGAACCATTTATATGCATTTATTTATTCTGTAAAATCATATATTGTGGCTTTTTGCATATCATCTGTGTTTGAGAGCTCAGAGTTATTTTTCACTGAAAAGAAGTAATCATGATTGAAGATTTTACACTTTATGGGCAATTTTTTTTTTGTTGATGAATAAATGAGTAAAATATTTTTGTCTATCATCTTTTTCTCATCCTCACAACTCATGGGTCCTAAGTCCACTTGTGACCATGGGAAACCCACTTTTTTTAAGGGGGGGGGGGGGGGGCTTCTTTCATTGAGATGCACTTGTCAAAAGTAGACATAAAAAGTAAACAGAAAGAAAGCAGTTGAAACCTTCATGTGCATGTTACAGGTTGTTTCACCAAAAGGTTTAATGTTATTGACCAAAAGGTTTCATGTGATTGGTCAAGAGATAAGAAAAACAATCAGTATTTGTAATTTCCCTTAAAGACATTGCTGCAGTCCATAAATAGAAAACCAAAAGAAGTTTGTCGGGATCCCACAGCAATGAGAAGACTCAGGACCCCTGATGTTATGAGGATGTCTATTTAAATGTTTGTAATTTATTGTTTAAAAATAAAGTCACTTTGAATTTCACTGTTTTAATAAATTTTACAAAAGTAGGATAAATTGTAAGAAAGGTAAAAATGAATGTACTTGTATACAAAAACTTTTAACACATCTTGATGTTCAATGTGTAACCCTTTTAGGAATGTATGCAAATTATGTCTCGATACAATTTTGCTTCCCTTGTAAGGCAAAATCTGATGCATATTTAGCTATCAGATGTGCACTAGAACTCAGAATAGTTCTTTCACAAATTCACTGTTTCAAGGAAATACTTAATTCCTAACAATCTGGTTCCATGTCACATGTCCATTTCCATCCAGTTTAAGCTCCCTTCATATTCTTTCAGTTTTCAACCATTTTTCATGTAATATGGTTTATTTTTCAGTTTTTATTAATCCTCAGCTTCTGGCTCCTCTTCTGGCTCAGGTTCAGGTTCTGGCTCCTCTTCTGGCTCAGGTTCAGGTTCCTCTTCTGGTTCAGGTTCTGGCTCCTCTTCTGACTCAGGTTCTGGCTCCCCTTCTGGCTCCTCTTCTTGTTCAGGTTCCTCTTCTGGCTCAGGTTCTGGCTCCTCGTCTTGTTTAGGTTCTGGCTCCTCTTCTGGCTCAGGTTCTGGCCCCTCTTCTGGTTCAGGTTCCTCTTCTGGCTCAGGTTCTGGTTCTTCTCCTGGTTCAGGTTTTGGTTCCTCTTCTGCCTCATGATCTTGCAAAGGCTCCTTTACTGCTTCATGTTCTTCTGATTCCCCCTCTTTAGATTCATCTTGTTCAGAATCTTCATGTTTTGATGAATCACTGCTGGATGAAGATGTGTCTGAATCCTTTTCACCACTTTCTTCCTCTTTTCCAGAACCTTGTTCAGCTGCATCCACTTCTTCCATTGGTTCTGTATTTGAAGAGTGAGATCCCTCAGATTTCTCTTCAGTTTTGGAATTTTTTGAATCTGACGACTTTCTAGATCCTGTTTCGGCTGTCACATCCAATTTTTCAGTTTCTGCTTCAGGATTGACTTTTTCAGCTGCATCTTTGTTATCTACTTCAAGATCTTTCTCGCTGAGGTTTACAGATTCTATTTCTACTGCAAAAGCGTCTGGGGCAGCTGTGTCTTCTCCTGCGTCCTCAGAATCGGAGGTACTCGCCCAACTGCTGATAATGGAGGATATAATGCTACCAGTGCTCTTGGTTCGATGAATCTTCTTATGAATTTTCTTTTTCTTCTTCTTCTTTACTTTCTCTTCAGCAACATTTGTGTCGTCTGTAACAGTAAAGATGAAAGTAAGGAACTGACTTGGAAAAATAGATATCTACAAATTACGAATCAATTTTGGGGGTACTAGAAGAGTTAATTTTTAAAAGGTTTTACTTGTCTTATGATGGACGTCGGATTCCGCAGGAACATCAGTACACAGTAAGATTACCAGCACAATCAGGACTGAGCCAATGAGGGCAAATATGGCGTAGGATATTTGAAAATCTTCTGTGTGTTCCGTTGCTTGAACAGATCGAGCTAGCGCACCTACAGTAAAGGAAATCGAAATGCACATAACATTTATTTTAGTATCCCCCCTCCGATGTAACAACTTAGTATCTTATTCATGCAACATCGTCGACGACATAGCAAAAAAAAAAAAAAATTCAACTGGCAGCAATGTGCTACCGTAATTTCGAGCTTTGAAATTGTCACCTATGCACAAAGTATTGTAGTATCTTGAGAAATGATATTTCCCTCTGGACAAATGTGACAGAGACACGAGACCTTTTAAGCATTTCTCTTCAAAAATAAATTCTAAAAAAAACAGTTATTTCTTTTTGTAGGAAGAGAAGTGTTTTAAAATGTCACGTTTCTGTGAAATGAGATCACTGACAGATATATCATACGAGTTCTAAAAAGGGAAATTAATGTATCCTTTGAATGCTCTTTGATTTATTTACTGTATGCAGGGAAATTCTTGCCCCTTTTGCCCTTGTAGCAATTAAGTGGGCGAATTTTAAAACGCGACGAATTCAAAGAAGTCAACATTAACTGTGTTGGACAATTTTGAAAAGGGACAAAATTGTTTGCAAGTATGTTAGGGCGGAAATAACACTAGGCTTAAATAACTGTATACAGTATTTTTGTTCGTTTTTCAATTTTCTGACCAGGAAACATAAGGTTTCATAATAAATGTACGTTACGATTTATGGAAATGTGACCCATATTGATCTTTAAACAGACCCGTAGACCACGTGGGAGGGGGGCTCCATTTTTTTTTTTTTTTTTTTTTTTTTTGAGTATAGTATTTTGCTATAGTAAATTTTTTGCTGGTCCCCCCCCCCCCACTTTTTGTTGTAAGGTCGAGCAGTGGCAAATTCCAGGATTTGGACAGTAAATTAGCTTTTTTGCTTTGCTTGTCCGGTAATTTTTGGAAGTTGCACCCCCCTCACTTTTGGTCAGATTTCATTTTTGTTAGATTTTTTGGGAAAGTTGCCCCCCCCCTTTTGAAACCCTTGCTAGGGGCCTGTAAAACTTCTTACGTATGCAGTTCTTGTATGTCAAACAGGTGTAAAATACACGATAATACGATATTCAAGGAACTAGACAAACAAAATCACTCTCTACCATCGGCTCATACAATGTACATTCACAGGTCTCCATCGTTGGCTCGAGTATGTTACAGTGAGAACGAAGAATAGTATGTGCATTATAATGAGCAAAAACATTCGATACGATACGATATTTTATAATGCGATATATTGGATTCTTTAATAAGTCTATCAAAAAAGTCTTATAAATCATTTAATGCATTAATTTTATAAAAAAAACTAAATGTTTTATAACCCATTTTGAAGTTCTTGTCTCACTGTCATTACAAATTACACTTCACATTCAATTTTTTACGACTGTTAAACCAACTTGTCAAAATAAAGTTGTCTATGTATTTTGTAATATTTATCTAAGAGGTGCTATCTCCTTAATGATTATATCATTATTGATCAGTTTTAATACAAAACAGTGAAAATATAACTTTTGGTGATTGAAATTCCTAACTTTTTCACAGAATTATAAGAAAAACAGCCTGTCCGATACATATTGAAAGTTATTTTTTTTCAATACGATACATTCTTGAATATCGATACGTATCGATAAATGATGATATATTGATACAGCCCAAATTATAATTAAATACTTGCGCTAATATTAGTCCTTAAAAGTAGATATTTATTTAGTAGATTTAGAACTATTAGTTTTATTGGGAATAATCCTTGGAATATCTTCTTTTTTTTTTTTTTTTTTTTTTTACTTTATTTCAAAAACCCATTGCAGAGGTGTCTGAGAGAGGAACGAACGACAACTCTGCTTGGGAGATTGAAACAAAATGATACATTTAATTTCTACTTTACTAGCCCGAAATACAAGTCTTCAACATACAATGTACCAAATAAACTCACAAAAATATATTCGCCCAAAATGATCACGCCTGCCCACATACATGTACTAAATGATATTTTATCAAATGTATATTTTAGGCGCGTAGTACGGTTTTTTTGTTTTTGTTTGGAAATTTGGGGGGGGGGGGGGGGAGGGGGGTGCAGAGAAAAATATTCGAAAACTTACATGTAACTGAAAAATAAACCAAAACAAAAAAACCCATACAAACAAACAAAAGAATGAAAGATAAATTGTCCAAAACTAGAAAATCTAATCTCATTGGAGGGGGGTATAATTTTTTCCACAAACAACTATTATTGAAACGTTACCTTGGGATGATTTGACTATAGTGCAACAAAAAGGGGGGCACTCTTTCAATGAACATTTTTAACAATAGAAGGTTTATATGTTTGTTACGTGCTTGTATTTAAATATCTTAAGGGATGCATGTACATGTACTAACCAGGATAGAAGACTTATAGATATTGAAGAGTAATCCGATTTAAAAATAAAGAGTTCATCAGGATACTCATCTATCCCGGGAAGTCAATACGGAAATTGATAAACATTATCAAACCTTATATCATCTTCGCTAGCCAAGGGTTTTCGGTCCACTCCGCTCCCCATATGGGGAGCGGAGTGGACCGAAAACCCTTGGCTAGCGAAGATGACCTTATATTTAAAACTGACATAATCATGATAATTAGATATAACAGTTACTATGAACAGTCCAAGATTTTTTTTGTGTAAGCTACTTGATTTCTTGCATGTAAATGAAAGTATATATATTGTGCATCATTACAGAATCTTTACCTAATCTGACGAAGGGGTCACTTCCACTGTTGTCAGGCAATTAGTATCAAATTAATATTGATCTTTGTTCGTTCATTATTTATTTGATATTAAAACAATGTTATGAGTGACTATTATGTATACCCAGCGTGTTATTTGATTCGACAATTAGTTAAAACTTAAAACTATGAAATTTTTGTCTTAAGAAAATTCTTTCAAGAAGACGCTGAGATCTTTTACCATAGCCAATATTTCATTTTTTTAATGAATGTATGCACTCTATGCCCAGTGTTAAAAACAGTGTTTGAAAACAAGAGTAGATTTGTAGGTCGAATCATCTGGACATTGCCCCAGACAATAAGATCTGATATTGGATTACAGTAAGTCAGTTAGTTTTTCCACCTGCTTTTCTGTACAGTAGCTACTAGTACTTTGTTGTGCGTCGTCTCATTTAAACAACGGATTCTCTGTAGAATCTATGGCAAAAAAAAAGAAATGTATTCAACTTTTCCCCCCGCTATAATCCATTTTAATTATTAAAACAAGAAAACGAATATATCGTAATATATAGCTTTGGGGATTACTTTGGACTACTTAATGAACATTATTTCTCCACGCTGTTTAAACCGTTGATTAAATGCAGTAAATTCATCGAAAAAGAAACAAACTTCCAGGTTACATTGTTACGTGTTCAAAGGGAAAATGTCCTTTTTAGACTAATTAATTTAAGGAGATAAGTAAACGCTGGTCAAGTATGGGTTTCAACACGGCTACAGTGTACAATCATGTATTTCTAGGAATGTCACAAAATCTCGAGAACTCTTGTATGAAATGGATTCAAGCTCGCATGTGTTGTTGCTCCTGACCTAACAGTCTTATGATGCTGATTTAAGGTCATATTTAAAAATTCAAGGTCACTATAGGACATGAAATATGGTACATGTAATGGTACCTAGACTATAAATTCTGGAACCCTTGACCCTTGGTTGGAATTCATTCAAACTTTCGTACGCTGTTGATGTTTACCAAAGGTGCGTTATGATCTTGACCTACGTAGGATCTTTAAGGTCAAGGTCACTGGGCAATATGATACTGAAATTGTGTTTGGGGTTTAACTCTGGTACCGTTGATTGGAATTATTTTCAAAAAAAAAATTAGTACGTTGTTGCAGATGACTCAAAGCTATGTAATAATCTTCGTTTTAGATCATGCTTAGGTCATGGTCACTTGTCAGAATTAAAATTGTATTTTTAAAACTTTGGAACCCTTCATTGGAATGAATTAAGTTTTGAAGACATGAATGTTGTTGATGATATAAGATGCCGCAATCTAGATTTAATGTCATATATTACAGTTCAAAGTCAAATTTCAAGCTTGACGTCGACTGCATGTTTCACTCAAGGTCATGTAACAAAGGTCATGGTCATTTGACAATGTGGTGTTGAACTTTTTAAGCTTGAAACTTGGTCATGGTCTATTTTAAAAATAAATCCAATTGCATACATGTATTAGATTATGTTTTTTAAGTGAATAAAGAATCAAATCTTTTCGGGGGGGGGGGGGGGGGAGTGACGGCCAGGGGTATAATTAGAAGGGGGTCAAGCATCCGCTTTGTTAAGAAGAAAAAAAATCTATACACGCCCCGTTTTTACTCCACTCAAAAGAATACGTGTAGTATAATTGAACAATGAAAGGTGGTTTCTTGACTCTCAGCAGAGTTTTAAAGTCGAGGCTGTCCTGCGGGCATCGTTACACTTATCTATTTAATCTGAATGTGGCCTTGGTTTACGTTAATTTGTTTAAAATACGTTGTTTTCCGATAAACTGCTGAGCACTTCAGTTGCCAAATGGAAGGTTGACAGCTCCGAGGAGTGTATAAAAATTATCTTCTCTAAAAATAAACTGCTTCTGGTGTATTGCTGTAAATTTCGACTACTTTGACGCGTGTTTTCTTCTTTAAAAAAATAAGTATGTGCCAAGAACCTTTTTAAAACAAAAATCCTGAATATCTTAGGATGATTTTGCACTGCATGTGCGATACTTTTACAAAGAAAAAAAATCATCTGTCTACATGTATTTCAAAAATTTGCCATGAAAACATTTTCCAGGTACCCCACCCACCCAACCTTTCTCTCTTCTATTCTGTAAATAAAACGTACATGTATAGTTGTTTGATGCATGTGCAATATATCATAATCAGTTGTAGATAATACATCATTTTGACACCTCGTGGTTTTAAATCATATACACATATGTGATATTTGCAGATAGAAATTGACAACTGGAAACTCGTAAAACTCATAAATCTCTCGCTATGTTTCAAACAGCTGTCCCTATAAACAAAACCCTCCTTATAAAATCATGACTGAATACTTTTCCTTACCTTTGAGGTGATAAAATACAGCTAATGTCTTTAGGACTTCCATATCTATCCTACATGTGACTTGTGTATATGTTACTGTGTTAGTAAACACACACGGATCATTGCACCATCGGTATGTCCGAGGCTTGCATTGCATTCAGGTCAAGTGTATATGAGTAAAGAAAAAAATCATCGTCCATTTAAACTTATTTCCCTTTTTGAAAGACATATCAATTATAAGCCAAAATTAATTATTTCTGATGAAAAAGATATTTAAACGCCCAATAGCGTGTTATTCGTTTCATTACATGTATATTGCAACTATATATATTGCTTTACCCTATATTATGGGAGTAATCCCGCGATGCTCGAAAGTTGTTTACATTACTTATATATGCATGCAATTATCCAACAGACGTAGAGCGAACAGAAATTCTAAATACATGTGTGTTTTATCATCGAGGATAACGTTCCTTTATATATCAGATTTGAAAAAAATACATTCACAAGAATTTACAAAAAATACTATATCCGAAACACCCATATACATGTATAGTTGAACATGAATCATATTAATGAATGCATCTGTGCAGATATGCAGTCCGAAGATTACAATGCATTCCTCCATATCAGACACTGAAGTACATCTCGTTATGTATAAATATTAATCTATTACAGTTGCACTTGCAGTGCTCATCGAAACCAATAATCATCTATATTACAGTGTACATTACACATGTTACATGTATTTCTAATTCAAGGTCGTGGATATTATGTTTAACATAGTTTAACTTTCGATTGATCTGTAGATCGAGAGAGAGAGAGAGAGAAAGAGAGAGATATAAACCATTCAACGTGTAATTATTCAGTGATACGAGTAGGATTAATATAAAATGATCGGATAGACATGTGCCATATGTTGAAATTAAGGAGGGGAAGTCCAAACGCAGAAAGAAATCCCTGTTCTTTTGGACACAGAGGGAGCTCATTACTAACTTTCTGTAACTACACACCCCACAACTCATTCATATCCCACCAAGATAAGCCCTGTTTTCTCTCAAAAATCTCGATATCGTGACTGATTGTAGAATGTAGCCATTTTTCTTATATTTTTCCCTAGTTTTGAAATGTTGATGATTGGTTGGAATCTATAAATTAGCTTGTTCTGGACAGTGTTAGCTTTCAGGTAAGTTGATTAATTTTGTGAATTCCTAACTTCATTCATGTTCGTCGATTTCAATTGAATTGATTTATGAAGTCCTCTGAGTGGTTCCTGCAAGTTTTGAGAGATTAAAAAACCCCAAAATATAAGCAATTTAATAAAATAATTTTAAAAAAACTTGTTAATTTAACGTAATACATAGGACAAGAAGGGATCCTTTCTTGCATAAAAATACAAGGTATAGGCAATTAATCAGAGCTTAGTATAATTTATAATGCCTACATAAAAAAAGTGCAAAATATAAACGCTAAAGATTGAAAGATAAGCCGACAGAAATACCCATTGCAGGATCATTAATAAATGTAAACAGTTTAAAAAACACGCAAGGAAATTGCATTGTTATTTTTAAATATTTTGTTTAAAATTTATTTGAATGTTTCAATCTTATTACATATAGTATTGAAAATGTCTCCAATTGGCTCCTCGGTGTCGACACATTTAAGAAGTAAAAATTAAGTACTCTCATACATCCTTTTCCAACGTTAACACGAATGGTTTTTGTAATACTTGCTCTTTTTTTATTAAATAGGATTTGATAGTATATATTACGGTCAATAAACATTTTCACAGAACTCAAGATACAGATTAAACAAGCATTCTGAGAGTATTGCATTAGCAATACTAGTCCCCTACCGGCAAGTGTAATCTGGTTCCCGTTAAAAATTGAAAATGCCAAAATTCCGTCAAAAATCAATGAAGCGGAACGAAATGCAAACTTGATCTATAACTCATCAAGGTAAAGACACATACCAAAAATCTGCTCAATATCTTCAAGCGTTTAGAAAAAAAATGCGGAAAACCCTGAAAAATTGAAAAGGTCGTAATTTCGTCAAAAATCATTGAAGCGGAAGGAAATGCAAATTTGATTTGCAACTCATCAAGATACACTCACATACCAAAAATCAGCTCAATATCTGCAAGCGTTTAGAAAAAAAGTGCGGAAAACCAAGTGGGACAGACTGACAGACAGACAGAGGGACAGACGGACAGACAGACAGACAGACAGAAAGACGGATGGACAGACTCAGAGGAAACCTATAGTCCCCTCCGTTTTCACCGGTAGGGGACTAACAAGCATTCTGAGAGTATTGCGTTAGCAATACTAGTCCCCTACCGGCAAGTGTAATCTGGTTCCCGTTAAAAATTGAAAATCCCAGAATTCTGTCAAAAATCAATGAAGCGGAACGAAATGCAAACTTGATCTATAACTCATCAAGGTAAAGACACATACCAAAAATCTGCTCAATATCTGCAAGCGTTTAGAAAAAAAAAATGCGGAAAACCCTGAAAAATTGAAAAGGTCGTTATTCCGTCAAAAATCATTGAAGCGGAACGAAATACAAACTTGATCTGTAACTCATCAAGATACACTCACATCCCTAAAATCAGCTCAATATCTACAAGCGTTTAGAAAAAAAGTGCGGAAAACCAAGTGGGACAGACTGACAGACAGACGGACAGACGGACGGACGGACTCAGAGGAAACCTATAGTCCCCTCCGGTTTCAGTGGTAGGGGACTAATAAGACTCATCAGTATGATTAATATTGGATCGTTGATTCGCTGCGGAATTCTGATAGTCATTACACAAAGGTGTAACGACTATCAGAATTTCGGAGCGAAGCAAGGACCTGATTTTAATCAGGCTAAGAATGAACCATCTGTACCATCATGCCAATCCGACGCCATGGTCCTGCTGTTCTTATTTGGAGATTTTTAAAAGATGTCCCAATGAAAAATTTGATCCAATATAATGTGGCCCAACCCTAGCAACAAGGGGGGATGAAAGGATTACATATATACATTTGTACATGTACCCTATACTCATTTACATGAACAGATATGAAAATATGCGTATCAAGCAAGAAGATGAACAGTTAAACAAGCATTCTGAGAGTACTGCATTAGCAATACTAGTCCCCTACCGGCAAGTGTAATCTGGTTCCCGTTAAAAATTAAAAATGTCATCAATCCATCAAAAATCAGTGAAGCGGAACGAAATGCAAACTTGCTCTATAACTCATCAAGACACACTCATATACCAAAAATCACCTCAATATCTGCAAGCGTTTAGAGAAGAATTGTGGAAAACCCTGAAAATTGAAAAGGTCGTGATTCCGTCAAAAATCATTGAAGCGAAACGACATGCAAACTTGATCTGTAACTCATCAAGACACACTCGCATACCAAAAATCAGCTCAATATCTGCACGCGTTTAGAAAAAAAGTGCGGAAAACCAAGTGGGACAGACTGACAGACAGACAGAGGGACAGCTAGACAGACAGACAGACAGACAAACGGATGGACAGACTCGGTTGAAACCTATATTCCCCCCGGTTTCAACGGTAGGTAGGAGACTAAAAATGCCGAATGTTTAAAAATGATACAGAAATAAGATAGGTATCTGTAAAAATTAGTTTAAAAAAAAAAGAAGGTTGAAAAGCATAAACCCAATCAGGAATTTCTCTCTGTCTCTCTCTCTCTCTATCTCTAACCGGTATTTGATTTTGACTTTTCCTCCATATAACTTGATGTAATTATCAATGTCAATTTCTGTATTCTATAACAACATTTAGATGTATGGATCATCTTGCTAGATAGTCACATTCTTTAATCTTCCGCTGAAGGATTGCCAAAATGTTCTTTTTGCTTGATACTTCATTCAGCTTTAAATGCAGTTAGAACATTTTATTGCATATCCGGAGTGCAATCATTAAAACTGGCTTTTTGACGAAAGAGTCTTGAGGAATATCAAGCTTAAAATTTGCAAATTTCATATTTCAGTCTACAATAGTCTATTGAGTTCATTCTCGTAAAGGAAATAAATTGCAAAGCTTGAAAATCGCAATATAACACAAGACTTTAAATAAATTCTGAAATTTTAGCGGTATCATTGTGCGTTTATGGAAATGAGCGCATGAGATGTAATAATTAAAGTAAAAAAAAAATGACGTTCACTTTGGAAAGTTTATGAGGCATGAACTTAGACATTTCATGAAAAATATGCCTGTTTGAGAAATCTAAACTCCTACCATTCCTGAACTTTCCAAAAAGAAATTACTGTTTTTATATTTTTTAAATGATTTAATTATGTTAAGAATTAATTGAAAGTAAAACTTTGTCTACTCTCATTTCCATTTCACGGGATTGTTGTTCCATCTGTTCATTTCATCTGACCTACTCCAAAGACCTATCAACGCATACATAATTTTTCACAAGGTGCCGCGCAATTTGTAGGGTTGCAGTGGTTTACGTGTAAATTTTATTCATTCATGTGCGATGATAAATGTTTATCCTTATGCATAGTGTATATGTTTTCTGTAAATCATCACTTTATGTAATATGCCAGGGTGAAAAAATCAGGTCATATCTTCAACAAGCATTCTGAGAGTATTGCATTAGCAATACTTGTCCCCTACCGGCAAGTTTAATCCGTTTCCCGTTAAAAATTGAGAATGTCATAATTCCGTCAAAAATCAATGAAGTGGAAGGAAATGCAAACTTGATCTGTAACTCTTCAAGATACACTCACATATACCAAAAATCAGCTCAATATCTGCAAGCGTTTAGGGAAAAAGTGCGGAAAACCAAGTGGGACAGACTGACAGACAGACAGACGGACAGACAGACAGACAGACAGACGGACGGACAGACTCAGAGGAAACCTATAGTCCCCTCCGGTTTCACCGGTAGGGGACTAATAATTTCAATAAGGAAATAAATTCTTTAATATGAAGTAGGTGAAGGTAAAGAACAGTGATCGATCTCAAAAACCTGCAAACAATACAAATCTATGAATAGGGCATAAAACAGGGGCTCCTGCAGGCGCGGATCCAGGAAAATTCAAGGGGAGGGGGTCCGGCTCCCCCCGACCCCC